ATTTTAATTATACATTTTCACATTTTCTTTTTATTGCAATAAATAAAAGACTAACTTGAGGTATATTTTTTCACCATACCTTTTTCACATGTTTCTTCTGCCTTAAAATTAATAATAATTATGGACTCTACACAAATTAATTATTCACATTTTCAAGCACATTTCACGTCATTTGATTAATTACAGTTTTTCCAATCATCTGAAACGCCTATCTTTCACTGTCTAAACAATAACTATACATTATACAGTATCAAAGGCGTACGGGAAACTGTTTTAAAGAACGTCTTTATCTTCTAGTTTAGTTCTAGTCTTAGACTTGAGAACTTGATTTTGATCTTTCTACTCCAAGTCCTCACTTGAAAAAAAATTGAAAACTTACTTTTATTTGTAAGTCCAATCTTAATCTTAACGTTGAAGAATTACGCAATAATATCCCATATAAAATATAGATCCAAAACTCAAACACTTGAAGAAATACTCACAAAATATACCATCACTACAACTATAAAAATGATGTTATTCCATTGTCTGTGAAATTATTTATTATCTTGGCCTACACACGGTGCTACTACTAGCAGTAATTCAGTTGCCGTCTGCTGATAAAAAATATTTTAAACTAACTGTGCCAGCGCATGCGTGTGTCGCAACATCCGCTCGAAGCGGGGCGACAAACACAGTGGGGATTGTTTTCACAGGTAAGAAGTTGGCTTTGACACGACGGTCAACGGTTGAGGCTCTCCCAGGGTTGGCGCGATGCAATCTGTTATCTCGTTTTGATTGTTTCAAGTTTGCCAGACCGTTTCCCTGCAATTTTTGTTTTATTTACTTCTAAAGTCGTCATTAAAATTAATATAGAATAACAGAAAAATTATTATTTTTTTAAATATTTGCTATAGTCAATGGTAAAATAAGAAAGCAAGGGCGTTCCGAGGAAATATGAAGCCCACGGGAAAAAAAAACAAAAAAACAACAACTATCTAATATAATGCCCCCTTATCAAACTTGAGAAACCTATTTTTATGTACCGTACCAATAATTAAGATTTATGTTAAGTATACAAGGGCGGCAGAGCTAGTAGATTAGTTTGCAAGATTTTAACTTTTTTTTTTATATGATCATAAACATTTTTTAAAAATTATTAAAACTCCTCGCCTGACTCGCCAATTTTTATGCCCCCCACCCCCTTTTTTTTCAAGTAGTACCAACACCGGGTTGGGGGGGGGGGGGTCACACATTTGTGACGTTATATTATAAGGGTGTCTAAATTTGGTGACCATTTTGTGACGATGGTGGGACATGGGGTAAACAATCGGCTGAAATAGCGTGACGTTATTTATGATGGCCTCTTATATGTACCGTACATTAAAAGTTTATTTGTATAAAATTATTGTCATTTTCTTCATTTAGAATTTTAATGATGATCCTTTGGCTAATCTTTGTCGATCTTTCATGTTAAAATATTTAATATAAAAAGAATGCATAACAGTACCGGTATACTCTAGCCTGAAGTATGGAAATTTTTTTTAAAATGGTCTCAAATGGCATGGAGTCTTTCAATTAACCCGAACAGAAAATTTGGAGAGAAAAAAAAGTTACAAGTTTTATCATTTTAAAAAAAAAGGTTATCAGAACATTTTCCCCTGAAAAAAGCGCATCAACATAAATTAAGAGCGACCGAAAATTATGTAACTATCAAGGGAAGATGCCACTCAGTGTCAGGCAGTGCCTAAGGCCTGGGCCCCACACTTCTAGGGGACTCAGTCTTTTAGATGCATCATGCTTTACATAGTGTTTATGAATATTGAAAGATTTTGGCAATTTAATATGATTTTAAAGTCAGTGGACAGCACGTTTCCCAATTTTTACCCATGATAATATATTAATATCGGCACATTCTAGAATTAATATTATAAATGCGAATAACAAATTGGATGGATACTTCTTAAAGTGGAATAGCTCTCGTCTACAAGCAGGGCTACCACACCTTGGGAAATTTCCCAAGATCTTGGGAATTCACGACCCCCCTTGGGATCTGGGGAATAATTTTGAAAATCAGGCAAAACCTTGAGAAATCTTAACTGGGGGGAAATTTTATTATATTTTTTCGAAAAAACGCAACCATTATGTGATAAAAAATAAAGTGAAAATAAAGCAAAATAATTTTTAAAGTAACAAGGCAAAAAATAAATTCTTTTAATTTTCTTTTCTGGTTTTAATTTTTAAATCTACTTATCAAATAAATAAAAACTCTTCTGATATTAAAGTTAATATCATTGTGAATTGTTAAAAAATTAATAATGAAAGAAAAATTCAATTTTCTATTTATTTTTTTTTTTAAATTGAAGATTTACAAATAACATCCAGGTTTTGAATGTTTATTAAATGAGAGGGGGGTAAGCTCGGAAACTTTATCATTAGGCTATTAGACATTAGCAACCATACAAAAAACAGTACAAGCCGAAGAGTGAACGTTAGTGTTCAATCAAGAATCAATGATATAGTAAAATTTGATTATTTCAATTACTTCTACAATGCATTCAAAATATAATGCATCTATAAAAAATTCAGCCTAATTTTCATCAATTGGAAAAAGACTTGTGGATTGAAACACAGGTAACTAAGATATTAAAAGTATAGGCCTACGCTGTAGTATTATAAATGAACAATACCTTTAAGAGTATTTTTTTGTTTTTTAAATCGTTATAATGTAAATTTACAAGAAAAAAATTAAAATAATTATTGTTTCCATAATAATATCAATCCATTTTAACTACAATTATTATTAATAAATTTTGCTTAATTGCTTTGCAAACCCCACTTCTAATCAACATATTTACAATAAGAAAAATCATTTTTTGATGAAGAGCCTTTTGCCCTTGTAAAAGGAATTCTGTATTGATTAGCCTTGTAGGCTTTGTTTCCAAGTGACTTCTATTACACATGTATTGTAGATATTTTTACCATAGAATTCGGAGGTAATATTTACCAACCTAACTCCAGTGGGTATTGATATTTTGGATTATAAATTATTTTTTTAAAACAAATTATGTGATTAACAATTTTTAAATGTCTTTTTCAATAAATTTTAGTCAATTAATGTACCATGTTTTTCAGGGGCATTAAGTCAATCTATTATTACATTAATTACATAGAAAAAACCCTTTAAAAAAAACAAACTCTTATATATTTTATGATCTTGGGAAATCTTGGGAAATTCGTTCACAAAATCTTGGGAAATTTAAAAAAAGTGAGTGGCAGCCCTGTCTACAAGTTCTCCCCTTCTCCCAGATATGAGTCGAATTTTATTTTAATAAAGTAAGAATTTGTGTTAACAAGCATGTTACAATGTTAGACTAAGATGTTAGCCCCCAGGTGTTAATAACCATAGCTTCGCCATTGCTCAGTAGTGAAATTAGGGGAGAAAAGCAGCGCCGTCTCAATTAGAAATTCCAAAAGACATTTTAAGTTAGTGCATTTGTTTGGAAATTCTTGCTGACTAAGTCTCATATTATAAAAATCACACAATAAATATATGACGTCTTTTTTTTTTTTTTTAAATACCATTTAGATAACGTAAAATTTAATGTTAATAACTAAATGTTTTAAATAGCCATACAAAACCTATAGCACTTTTCTATTTCTACAAACAGCGTTTTTCTCTTTTTTTTTGTTTGTAACTGTTAATTTTGGGGAAACCTCAGGTTTTAAATTAAATCCAAAATTATAATTACTATACTAACACTAACATACTAATAATAGAATGATTATTTGTCGTTTTTTAAAAAAAATTAACAATCAACTGTTTTGAAAAAATAATTGTTTAAAATAAAATTTTGAAACAACATTACTATTTATATGCAACTAAACTTAAAAATAAATTATGTAACCCATAGATGGTCAAGGGAACTTAAATTTCAACAAGCGTCTTTTCTGTTGCTAGCCAGTTAAGTGCAGAATTATGCAAAACTAAATTCATGTATGCGCCAAAATGTATCCCATCTCAGTGGTGTAGATTAAGTTTGTGACAAGAATTAACGGCATGTTTGCGCAATATGATCATTAGTATTAGGCATTTAAATCTGGGTGAAAAAGAATGGGTCTACACAACATTTGAATATCCACCGTAGCTTTCAACATTTGAACATTCAGGTAGCTATCAACATTTGAACATCCAAGCTGCTATCAACATTTATAACATCCATGCAGCTATCAACATTTATGTAGCTATCAAAATTTGAACATCCATGTAGCTAAACTATTAACATTTCAATATCCATGTAGCTAAACTATTAACATTTCAATATCCATGTAGCTATCAACATTTCAATATCTTCGTAGCTATCAACATTTCAACATCTATGCAGCTATCAACATTTGAACATCCATGCAGCTTTAAACATTTGAACATGCATATAGCTATCAACAAGTGAACATCCCTCTAGCTATCATCATTAAACATCCATACAGCTATCAACATATCTATGTAGCTATCAACATTTGAACATGCATATAGCTATCAACAAGTGAACATCCCACTAGCTATCAACATTAAACATCCATACAGCTATCAACATTTAAACATCCATATAGTGATCAACATTTAAACATCCATATAGCGATCAACATTTCAACATCTATGTAGCTATCAACATTTAAACATCTATGTAGCTAGCAACATTTAAACTTCAATGGGGCTATTAAAATTGAACACCCATGGAACTATCAACATTTAAACATCCATGCAGCTATCAACAAGTGAACATCCATGTTAAGAGGAAATCCTCAGTCCTTAAAGAAGATAGCAGTGAGGTTAGCTTATGCTCAGTTCACACTATCAAATTTTCTTGAAATAGTAAAACAAAATAGTGCGTTCAAAAAGAAATTTGAAGAAAATTTGCATATGTGAACTGAGGATTAGGATCAAATCAACTTACACACTTCCACCAAAATTTTAGTTGATTGGCCATAGATTCAGTGGTGAGGGAATGGGGGGGGGGGGGTGTGTCTACACTTTTTTTTTTTATTGAGGGGTGGCATTTTTTACCTAATGTAGAGTATTTTTCATGGAAGGGCGAGAGCAAAATTTTTGGCCGGCCTCGAGGGTCACTAACAAAACTAGTTATACCACTGTCATTAACCCAAGTTACTCCACTGATTAGATCACCAAAAAAAACCTGTTTAGAAAAGCATCACAGGCACTGTTACCAGAAATCTTAAAAGAGACAAGTTAAAGTTAAAATAAATCAATTGACTAATTATAAATAAGACACAAAAGAATTTCAAAATGTTCAATAAATAGGATTTATATCTGAAACGTTCTGGTTAGACTTATTTCATTCATTATATACATTTCAAACAAGTCCAGTAAAATAAAGCCAGCAGACACTTTGCTCTCAAAGTGCTAACTTAAAATATTTAAACTTAACAACAGCTGGCGATTACAATTTCTTACTAACTTCAACTAACTGGATAAAAAAATGACATGTGCGCAGACTATGCAAAATTTAAAAGAAAAATAATATGTAACATCAATTATGTTAATCAAATCTTAAAAACTCCAAGGCAAAAATTATATTTTGTTGGCCAACTTGTTTGTTCCCAGTTCTGTGTATTTTTAAGTACCTGTATACAGTAGATTCACTTTTATTTTGAAATTTTATTCAAACAATGGCTTAAAAGTTTGTTTTTTGTGTATGTTAGTTTTAATAATTCAAATTTAGCAATCACAACAAAATATGAATTCGTTTTAAAATTACTATTTTTACCGATTTGCTTAAAAATTTTGTTTTGACAATACACCTAATCTAAAAACCTAACCCATATAATCTCATTCTGCAATGTATGCTATAATTTCTGCTATAATTACAAAACGATAAATTTTCTTGGAATAGCTCATACTCGTAATGCCAGAAAATGACAAACTACTACAACTCATTATAACGTTTCAGTGATAATCTTGGAACAATGTTCATGGACTGAAGCTCTTGGAATAACAGCTTGCAAGCATATGGCATCTTCAGAGTTGAAACATCTTTAGAGGACTTGCAGTATTGGCACCTGGCACAGCAAAGTTTACATACATTAGTTCAAATAGTATTAATAGCAACATAACAAAATTATTAAATAAACTTGCTTGTAGTACTACTTTCTAATCATTTCATGAACAGCTTCTTTTTTTAATTATTATGATATCCTCCTGTTGTATTTTTTAACTTAACCAAATTAAAAGAATTTAATTAGCATCAAAGTAATTGAATAGAATAAATTTATTAAATGAAATCATTATTTAAATAAACCATTTCAAAAATATCAGTGTGAAATAAATTTGTTTAAAAAAAAAGGCAAATAAAATGTTCTATTTCTTGTTGTTTCTTCATTTGTCCTGTCTGCTAAGGAAGGCTTTTGGCTGAATTTTTTTTCTTTTATTGTCCTGTCTTTACTTTACATTTCAAGCTTCCACATCCCTTATTATGCTATTTCGTTCACATAGCTTGAACACAGTCCTTTATTTATTTAATATTATCCAGATAAAATCAAAAGCTTTAATAATCTCCACTTCCATTGTCTTAATTTTAAAAGAAATAATAATTTAATAACTGAAGTTAAGAAATTGAGATAATCACCAGCCAGAGTAACCGATGAGGCCGCATTGCCCACAAACATCCACTTCAAATTCATCACTAGAGATCATCAGGCGCTCCAGCAGCAGCATACTGCAAGGACAAAAAATAATCAAACAGTTAAATCATTCAAGGTTTACAGCAATTCTTTTTTGTATTATTAATTATCTACATGCGATTTTAAATACATTAAATAAAACTAAAACAAAAGGTTGTTAAGGTAACATTAAGTTAATTTATCATGATAACTGACTTACACTAACACAGACTTGAACTTCTCAAGGGTATAAAAATAAATATTTAAAAATAGAGAACAAATCTGCATCAAAGGTCAAACAAATCTGCCACTTTGCAACCACCAGAAGGAACATAATAAAAATAAAATAAGATTTAAATCCATCTCACCTGGCACCATATCCAATTAAACAATCTCTCTCCATCTCACCAAGCCTGAGGCCACCATCTCGTGATCTACCTTCTGTTGGCTGTCGAGTAAGCACCGCCCTAGGACCTTTGGCTCGAGCATGCATTTTGTCTACCACCATGTGCTTCAACTTTTGATAGTAGATAGGTCCAAAGTAGATGTAGGCAGACAATGGCTCTCTGGAAAAATTGTAAACCATTATGGGCAAGTTGAAAATGAAAGTAAACAAAACAATTTAATTTTATGTAATAAGCAAAGCTTAAGAAGACTGCATAAAAAACAAATTTAATTGTTATGATGCACAAATAAATTCATGTGAAAAGGGTTTTTTTGTGGTCCAATTATATTGTACAGTTATTTTCAAAGTACTCAATTAGTATACCAAATTTTAAAAAAAAATCTAATCAAACAATCTAAAAAAAACTTTGTCCAGTGTGTCAACCAACAGATCAATAGATTAATTAGATGACAGAGCAAATAAGACAAAGCTATTGATTGCACTACTCACCCTGTGACCCCCGATGTCACAAAGTCCTTTCCCAAGTAGTTGAAACCGTGCTCTATAAGAGTTTCAGATAAATCTGCCACTTTGCAACCACCAAAAGCTGTAGGAAAATGAATGTTGTGACTGGGTACAACAAAATAATGGGAAAACTGAACACAGGCTAAGTAGCTATGATTAAAAATGGCACCTACAGTATTAACATGTTTTGTTTTTTGGTAGTGAGAAATTTAATCAAAGTTCTGCTTTATTCCACCTTTTGTGGTTCAGGTTTTTTTTAAAAACTCAAGCGTTCTCCTTCTTCCCATGAGTAGCGGTCTTAATGACAATCCATTTGCATCCATATTTGTTCACAGCAGCAGGTGCCTCGACTCATTCAAAACTGGTACTAGCAGATTATCAGGCAAGTACGCTGTCATTGTGACACAGGCTTCCTATTCTTTTCAGCATCTTAGGACCAGATTTTAAATGATCAATTTGATCACTTCAATACTCTAGTTAAGTCTATTATCACCACACAAATGTAGCATAACTGTATCATATAAAAAAGTTTTGCCTTCTTTCAAACCTAATTGAGTTAGTAATAGATTTTCATTTAAAATCACACTGACCTGTTCCATAATGAAATTTCCCCTCTAAGACTCCAGCTTTACTTCCAAGCAGTTCAATGAGTTTACCCACTGTCATACGTGAGGGATAGCCGTGTGGGTTCATGATCTGAGAATACAAAGTGAAAATTACAGGTCAGCAATCAGTTGTGTTGAGGGTGGACAAGACTTTGTACATCTGAACAAATGTTATCACTGACTTGACATTTAAATATTTGTACTTATCAGACAAACCCAATGGATAGAAATTTTGCATTAGATTTTATTTCCCAATTTTGTAACTCTCAACAGTTTTCATTAAGAACGTATGCATATTTACATATTTACTTACAATATCTGGACATATGCCCTGCAATGAGAAAAAATGAATTAGTTCTGTTATTAATTAAAAGAAGAAAGAAAATTAATCTTAAAAAATACACGTTAACAAAATGTTAAGATATAAAATATATATATATATTTTTGATCAAAATCAAGTAATCTATATAGATAATTCTCCAGCAAAGGTCAAACAAGATGGGTCAAACACCACACAGGCTATTTATAGATACGTCAGAGTGTGGTTCAATAATGAGTTCACTAGCGCGCAAAATATAATTCCCGATAACTACGCTAAATGATATATATATATTTTTTAAATAACGGAATTGCGTTTGGTGTGTAATATTTTCTTTTAGGAAATGAAATCGTCTCAATTTAAGTATTGTGTAAAAAATATTCGGTTTAAAAGTGGTTTGGACATGAGAATATTAATATAGTTCATGGGCGTGAAATAAAAAGTGTGCAGTGATGTATCATGGGGGAAGGGGTGTAGCAAATATTGGGATTCTTTTAAATGTGCGTTACTTGAGTTTTGTCAAGAAACTTTACTAGATGGGAAGTTCACGCATTGCTGTCGCCAATGTTTGGCGGGCCATATCTAGTTATTTATAATTTAAGAATTAATAGCAAAAGATACGTTTCTTAATAGAAATATTTACTTTAATAAAACATTACTTTATAATTTTTGTAGTAATTGTTTATTTGTGTACTAAATTACTTACAAGATCTGTAAATGGCATATCCTCTTGTGGAACAATCAAACCACAGACACTGAAATATTTTAGAACAAATAAGAAGTTAAGCTTAATGAACCATATAAATGTTGGAATGAAGGTAGTTTTAAACACAAAATCCTTTTCTTACAACGACATATCGTTAGCTTACCCTTTCTGTCCATGTCGACTGCTGAATTTGTCACCAACTTCTGGTCTACGTGTCTGTCGCATCAACATTTTGACGAGGAATGATTCTTCTTGATTTGAAGTGATGAGGACCCGTTCAACATAGGAAGGTTCAGAGCCTTTGTATCTGAAGAAAGCAGACATCAGCGCTCCCATGTATTATTTCATGGCTATATCAAATATTTTTATTCTATTGCACTTAGGTGACAGGCGTTTCTGTTTTAATGCACTTATGTGACAGGTGTTTCTGATCTATTGCACTTATGTGAAGGTTTTCTGTTCTATTGTACTTTTGTGAAGGTGTTTCTGTTCTATTGCACTTATGTGAAGGTGTTTCTGTTCTATTGCACTTATGTGAAGGGTGTTTCTGTTCTATTGTACTTATGTGACAGGTGTTTTCTTTTCTATTGCACTTACGTGACAGGTGTTTCTGTTATAATGCACTTACACGACAGGTGTTTCTGTTCTATTGCACTTACGTGACAGGTGTTTCTGTTCTATTGCACTTACGTGACAGGTGTTTCTGCTCTATTGCACTTACGTGACAGGTGTTTCTGTTCTATTGCACTTACGTGACAGGTGTTTCCTTGTATTCAGTTTGCTTTATCTGTCCCATCTGAGGCTGTAAGGACGGAGATGTGATTGTTGGCATTTCTTTGTTTACCATCACCTGACGATTCTCTATGCGCATTCCTGTCAAAAAGATGATACAGAGGTCAAGTCTGTTATAATTTTTGGCTAAGATGTTTCTTTCACAAAAAATGCTTTCTTCCTCTTAATGAATCAATTATAATTTTACAAAGGAATAATTTTTAAAAAAACACAATTTTTTACACCTGAATTACTCTCCAAACCTTAAGGAACTGATAAATACAAGAAGGAATTCAGGACAACCCAATAGATTTTGTGTTATATTTAGCATGAGGTTATTGACTGTTATACATTTTCAAAGCCCAAAAGATATGTTTATAAAACAAAGAATTTCACCTGGTGCTGCTATGCCGTCGTGGTCCAAAGGCTGATGTTTCCAAATTGGTTTGAATGTTTCCCTATCAACTTTAGGCCCCATTATTCTATCAAAGGTTTGATTGGCATATCGTTTGACGGCACAGGTTTGTTTCCTGTAGACCAGACATCTTCCGAAACCTGCGGGGAAAAGGCAAATGAATGAGTTGCAAGATTCCCTACAACACTGAATTATGCCACATGGATCAAACATTTTGATTATTATTATTAATAGATGGTAAATTTCTCTGTTTTTCTTGTTGTGTTACTTTGACAAATAATTCTTACAGGACTAGGAGAATAAAATAGCTGAAGCGGCTCTAACGTAATAAAGTTATTGAATAATTAAAAATTATTTATTGAGGAAGAATTCTCCCTGCCTCTGTCCAATGAAGCTTTATTCAAAACAAGGGCATCTTCAATATCATAACCACTGTAGCTCATCACAGCAACTGTAGCATTCTGTCCTGCTGGCAGCTTGTCAAAGTGAATCAATTCTATGGTCTGAATGAAGAATGATTTAATCATTGATAAATTCGTTTGTCAAGTCCAGTTGACCTCAAAATTAAGTTTAAAATAGAGGGCAGGTCTCAGGATTTAGGTAGATAAAAAAATAATGCAAGAAAAATACATGATTCTAGAATCAATTCAGAATGAATCTTATTATTCGTTAGGAGAATTTTTTGCCATTCAAACTCAATGGCTGACAATTGATAATTTTATTGTATATAAAAATCAACTGATATATAGATAAATCTAAGTGAGAAAGCATGTCATCACCATGCAAATTTAAAAGGTCTTTATTCAAAATTAACTTAAGATATAGCATATATTTATTTAGTTGTTTGTGTCGTCCGTGCAGATGCTACAGTTAAATATCTGATATATTATAATTTTGCAACCTATTGTCTTATTGGTGCACTGGAAACAGGGTGTTCCATTCTCGTGGATGCAAGCTTACGCCTGCATCAAAATGTGATACTGTCAAAGGTATGAGAATCACTGTCAAGGGTATGAGAATCATTGTCATTAAGGTGAACTGTTGTTACAGAGGGTTGTGGAGCACTGGGAGTATTATTGTGTCTAAACTGTGACTTGATAACAGGAAAAGCATAATAAAGAAGTGTGTGAAAATAAGGTGATTGAGTTGGTGGTACACAGCAGTTTTTTTTGGCAGTTGATAAAGAGTTGAGAGTTAGTGCACCTTGAGTTCACAGCTAGTCCAGTAGTTGATGTACAGTAGACAGGTGTGTGTGGCTAGAGGAAGTGAGGCTAGTTGAGTGTCTGTGGCCTAAGATGATGTTGGTCACCGAGACGGGAGAAGTGTACTATATGATAGTGATGTCTTGCCTAAATTGATGTTAGTCCCCGAGACGGGAGAAGTGTACTATATGATAGTGATGTCTTGTCCACTACCAAGAACAAAGGTGAACCATATTATTTTATGTAGTGTTGCTGCCTCTAGCATTTGGCGTACTTGATTATTAGTGCAGAGTGCTGCTGTCTTATAGGGAAGCTAGATATTGTGACTCTTAGTGCAGAGTGTTGCTGTTTTATAGTGAACCTAGACAACATGACTCTTAGTGTAGAGTGCTGCTGTGTTATAGTAAAGCTAGATAACTTGACTATAAGTGCAGAGTGCTGCTGTGTTTATAGTGAACCTAGATAATATGACACTCAGTGCAGAGTGCTGCTGACAATGTTGCCAGAATGAAATACTTGAAGGGGGTCTTGACCAGAGAACCCAGCATTCTGACAGATACCTTATCTAAAAAAATATTATCTTTGGCAACAAAAAACCCAGATATGATAACATGTTGATGCAGAATTTTAAAATTAAAATGTACTGTTCAAAACACTTGTATCTCACCTTTGATTTAACTAATGGTGCTTGCGGGTATGCCAACAGGTAGAGAAGTGTATCAATCCTGTTACGCTGGTTGTATCCTATTGTGCCTGGTTATACAAGAAATTCTTAAAACATGAAAACATTTACCAAAATATAAAATATAAACATATATAATTTCAGAAATCCACACTAATGTAATTCCATATATTTCAGAGCCGTTACAACATTGTTTCATTATGATAATGTTAATAAGAGTGTTGGACTGTGATAAAGCTTTAAAGTTAATTAATTAGACACAAACATTTTGTGTTAATAAAACAATTAATGTTGTGCTTTAATGTTGATTTTACAAATTACAAATGTTAAAGTTTTGGCAAATGCCTTCATCAGTACAAAAAACAAAACATTTAAATAAGTATAAATTAAATTTAAATAATATAAATTTACATGGAGCCTACCTAAAAAATGGAAAAATAATAAGAATTGGCAAAAATCCAGACAGAAACAAAGTAATGCAGAATGAAAAGAAAGTGAGTGTAAGTAAAATTTAAAAACTAAACAGGAAAAAGTAATGGCAGCTATGTAAAATTGTGGATTTGGTATATACCGCATGGAGTCAACGTACCAAATCTTGTTATTAATTTATTTTCTATATAAATCCTATCTAGTGAATTACTTGTATATAGTATACCAGTAACTGCAATGCCTAAAATTTCATCATGGTTGGTGCTATTGATAATGATAAAGTTGGCTTAACACACTGTTAAAAAAAATTGTCCACAAAATTTACTGTTGTGAATGTTACATTTTCAACAATTCAAATAGCCATAAATTTTTTGGGCAATTATTTCAAAACATTGAAAATAGATTTAGTTTCCATTTAATTTATCATAAGCTTATTTTTTTAAAGCTATACTTTCGCATGTGTTGAACTTAATAAAAACCTTGAAAAAATTGAACATTGCATCAACTTCTAGGAGTTGAGAAAACTTTTCATTTATATATTATTTTCACAACACAAAATAGTCCAACTGTTGTACTGGGCGGAGTTAATCAACAAAAGTTCAGTTGAAATATGAAAAAAATGTTGGTAGGCCTAAACTATGGAAAGTCTCTGAAATTTAGTATGTGAGCTTCTTTATCTTGTAGAAACTGTTACAGATAATTTAGTATGTGAGCTTATCTTGTAGAAACTGTTACAGATAATTTAGTATGTGAGCTTATCTTGTAGAAACTGTTACAGATAATTCAGTATGTGAGCTTATCTTGTAGAAACTGTTACAGATGGTGCTTCCTATTAAACAGCTTGCAATTTAAATAATTAGTAAAAAAAAGACTAACCCATCGCTTGTTTGCCCATAGCACACTGATAGGTGTTTCTTGGAGACTGGTTGTGATGAGGGTATGGAATCAGTCCAGCACACACTCCCAGGATTGTGAAAGGCTCAATCTCTAAGTGAGTTGTGTCCCTGCAAAAATGACGGTTTCATAAAGGTTTTTAAAGCAGACATAGACAAACTTTTTAAAATGAAAACTGAAATAAATTTATTCACATTTTACTAGTAACAAGATGCTTAGTGCCCTCAACTTAATCCTTATGAAAAAAGCACATCAAATTTAAATTGGGAACTGATTCTTTCATCTAATTAGTTATTTTGGCATGTAACAACCTGAATAGCACACAAAATAATGGTTTTCATCAAAGCACTTGAGTATTTGAAGGAAATAACCCAATGAAACAACAGCCTTAGTTGTGTGACTTTGTAGTCATGCATTCAGACATACTTTTTACAAGTAAGCATTCTTATCAAACATTGTAAATTTATCTATTTTCTTACTCTGTAATATGGGACTCATACAAGGCAATCATTGCGTCGTTCTCTTCATTGACATCAAGATACTCCACAAGTCCTTCGTGGAGAAAATCTTCAAAACATCTTTAGAAGACAATAGAATGTAAATTATGTTTAAAAGTAATGTTATATCAGCATTTTATGAATTCTTTAACATTTTATAACCATAAAGACTCACGAAAATACCAAGTATTTTTGTTACCACATTACTTTAGTCTCGTTTGTGTAACTTTAATCACACAAAGGATATTTTACATTACATTCAAACCAGTTAAAAATGGTACCGGGGTGGGGGGTCATCATTCGTAACATATCTTGGTATTGAGTAATAACTAAACTCAAAAAAAGATAGAACAATCAGGTGACAAAATAATTTACCTGAATTCTCTCGACAGGTCCTCGATGTGTTTCTTTGTAACAAGTGGTCTTTTGTTGTTTACAATTATATAGGGTCTGGGACAAAGGTCATAGAAGGTCATTGTAAAACGGTAGTGGTAATTAAATACGGTATGTGTAAAAATTGCATTACAACAATCTAATAACACAGTGACAAAATAATCTACCACACATGCACTGTAAATATTAGGTTGTCTTAAATTTATCAACAAAAATAAACATTGTATGAAATTAGATGTTTCCTCAAACTACAAATTATTTTTTTTTTAAACTTAACGTACCATAGCATAGCAGGAAAACAAAAATCAATGGTTGAGGTAAAATTGAGGAATGATTGAAAATGAGAAAATCAATGATTTTGCAAATGTCCTGATTATTTTGTAGCCATACTTTTTTACTATTAAAAGGGTGTCAGTATCCTCATGTAGTCCTGAATTTATTCTCAAGGCTTTAGTTACAATTCAAATGTTTAAGAGTTATTGAAAATAAAATTACCTGCAAACTCTACCACCATCAGAAGCAATATAAATACATTTGTGTGAGTGGTTGGGAAAGATGGAGACAAAAGCATTGATGTATCCTGCGCGCCGTAACTTCCTAAATATTGTTACCATTCTTTTGCAATGATTTGTCATACCCAAAATATTACCTGTAATGTAGAGGAATAACTAGTGTATATACACTTCTTATCAATGAATCAAAGAAAATATTTATTTAAAAAAAAAATTAAATTCATTACTAAAAATACTAATTATTTTTTTCACAATATTAATATTAAGTACTTATTACCTGGTATTGTCAACATAACCTTAAATCTCCAATCCTCAACGTTATTTTCAACATTATCTCCAAAATCCAATTCTTTACATTATCTCACACATCCAATTCTCAACATTATCTTCAACATCTAATTCTCAACATTATCTTTAACATTCAATTCTCAACATTATCTTCAACATTAAATTCTCAACGTTATCTCCAACATCCAATTCTCAACATTAGCTCCAACATCCGATTCTCAACATTATCTTCATCCAATTCTCAAAATTATTTCCAACATCCATTTCTTAATATTATCTCACACATCCAATTCTCAACATTATCAGGAACATCAAATTCTAAAAATTATCTCCACCATCAATTTCTCAAATCCACTTCAACATCATTGAAGCCACAAATGAAATTAAAAGATAATTTTAAAAATCCAAGTTGCCTCCTACCATTTAGAAAGACTGTATAAAAATTAGGACTGCTGACTTCATCTCGACTGAGTGTCTCGATGTCTTCAACACCAAGACTGACTGCTATCCTAGCAATAGGCCCTTCATCAACATCAACAGTTATGTGTGTCATGAGGGCCAGGTTCTTCACAAGACCGCAGGCCTGAAATTTACAAAAATTATGTGGCATTTTATATAAAAGGCCCTATTAATTTTTGTGCCAAAACACTTGTACTTAATAGACAAAAGTTTATGAAATGTTATTGCTAAAATTCACCAGGGTGTAACTTGCAATAAAATTACATAACTATTTAAACACAAATGACAGCACCTTAATTATTACTTACCTCTCCTTCAGGCGTGTCAGATGGGCACAGTAGCCCCCACTGAGAAGGCTGAAGTGACCTTGGACCACTTACTTTGCGGGTTTTTTCAAACTAAGAAACAGGATTTAGAAGTGTATTAAAATATTAATTTGTTCGAACGGTACAACCATTTTTTTTTTGTAAGCAAACCAAAAATGTGTTGTTATTTGAGCCAGATTCAATAGAGGTTAAGCACTCAAAGGGTTAGACAATTTCTTGGGAGGAAAAATTCACTGCTCACCTGGCTGTTTATTCTGGTCATCATGCCCAGAGCTGAAATATAACTTAACCGAGACAAAACTTGAGTCACACCCCCTCTGTCCATTTTGAAACGCTTGATTGTCCAGTTGCCCTGGAAAGTATACAAATTTTAACAAATTTTTAAAATGACCTAAGGGGTTAGGTTGGGATCAATAAATTTGCATTATAAGTCAGCAAAGATAAAAAAAACATTTGTACTGCCAGCTTTAACATTGGAAAAGTTGACTTTGGAAGTGTCAGCCTTACAGTAGCATTGACAAGGCCAAAAGTAAAGGGATGCGTCAAACTTACAGTGGCTATGGCATTGACAAGGCCAAAAGTAAAGGGATGCGTCAAACTTGCTATGGCATTGACAAGGCCAAAAATAAAGGGACCTTCTAACTTATGGTGGCTATGACATTGACAAGGCCAAAAGTAAAGAGTCGCAGGGTTCATACAGAATTCAAGGTCCAGAATTCACAAACTTTTCCCAAACCTTCAAAGACCTTTTTGTAAAAATTCAAAGACCTATTATCATCAAATACTTAAGAGAAAAGAACACAAAAACTCACCTAAAGATAGCATAGTTTAAAAAATTCTTCATAACGCCAAGTATATACACTATCATAATCAGCTTATCCATGAGGGATGTCCATTAGTTTTAGGAAATATAGCACAAATGTATGTAAAATGTTACACACACTCAAATCAGCTCAATGTTCAAATGTAATTTTTGTTTGAAACAATTGTTAAAACTATCAGCCACAGACCAATGAGCCAATGTTCTAGACAGAATACCGGTATTTTAAATGTCATGACTGTCCAGTTGTATCACGAAATTTTTAAAAAATGTGTTGCAAACAGACCAATTAATATTCACACAAATCATATATATAGTTAACATATTTTTTTTTACTGAAGGTCTCCTTCTTTTAGGGCAATAATTTTTTGAAGTTTTAGAACTTCCTTCTTCTTCTCTGAAGCCTTTTCCCGCAATGCATTTGATGCACATATAAAAGAGAAGTCTCTTTTAACTTCAGCCTCTTAGCCTTGCTATTGGCTAAGGTAACTAAGCTACATCAGCTTCCAAAGCTCTTTTCTTAGACTTCAACTCCTGCACCTCATCTAGCTCAAGCGTTCTTTTTTTTTTATTCAAGTAGAATATTTCTTTCCTCTTTCTGCTTTTCCAAGTAAAGAGTGTACTTCGTTCTAGCAGATGAGGCAAAACTTAACAACTCTTTGGTAATTTGAATTTTATGAGCTCCTCTAGCTCTCTTAACTTGAAGACATTGAGCACAGAGACACTCTGTATATAAGTTTTCAACAGAGACCTCTTTATTTAGAGAGAACCTTCTTTCCACAGTCGCCTGGCCATGCGATAACAAAAGGAGTTTTTGAACAATAATCCACAGCTCAGAAAACTCCTTTTTATTGGGAAAAGCTGAGAAAAAAAATTCACCCACCCTGCTTTTTGATCATTTTATCTTTTTATCATTTTCCCCAAACTTTCAAAGACAGTGATATTTTTGACAATTTTCCCAAACTTTCCGGGCCCCGGAAAAACCCCCCCCCCCCCCCAAAACCTTCAAAGACCTACAAAGACCATGCGAACCATGAAAGAGATATGTCAAACTTACGGTTGCTATGGCATTGACAAGACCAAAAGTAATGGGATCTGTACGCATGAACTTTGTGATATCAAACTCTGTAGCCCGCACCTTAGGGATGTTCTTATCTGCTACCTTCATTAGCTGTAAAGAAACAAATAACATTACAAGTTAATGTACGCTATGTAAACAATGTCCCTTATGTTACAACATAAGTTATGGCACAAACCTGAAGTTCACTAAAGTTATGGAATCAATGTATCTGAGATTCACTGAAATTATGGTACGGTATCTTAATGATACATATACATATAGAGAATATCTGCAGAAATCTAAACGAAATCTTACATCTAGGTTGTACAATTTGAAGAGATCCTCAAAAAGAAGAGACAACAGCTGGCCAGCTAATTCCAGCCTTTTGTTGCCATAGTAGTCACTATCATCCAACTTGATCTTGCCAGCTTGTGTGAGGACAATCCTTCGAACCATTAGAGCTAAGTAGATGGCTTTAGGCTTGAAGTTCCAGTCTACAACCTAAAGAACACAGATTGTACAAATCTGATAAGGCTTAGTTGTTGTTTTTTTTTGAGGTCATGGGGCAAGTTAAGATTTCATGAGTAATGAGAACATTAATGGGACATATTAGTTCCCTGTATTTGATTGTGTTTTCAGAAAAATTAATTCATTGATTTCCGTTTCATTTCTCCAGATCTAAAACTTGAAATAAAACCACAGAACAACTTACAGGGACATGGGCTAAAATAACATTTTTGAGAACATCTCTGGCTTCATCAGCTTTGCTTTTTTTGGTTCCGTACATTCTTTGACGAATTTTTGAGAAAATAAATTCTAGAGCCTGTGGAAAGAACAAATTAATTTTTTTTTTTATGACAAAAGAAACATCTAAAAAAAAATAATTTAAATACAAAAACTTAACATATAATTATTTGAAGATTTAAAAAATTAAAGAGCTAAATCCCTGTCAATACTTTATGTAACAAGAAAATAGTTAAAAATAGACATAGCAGGCTTAGAATTTTTCTTCTTCTGTTTATTAAGGGCCCACGATCAATTTATTGATCATTTTGGCTCCTATGCATGTAGAGGGGATTTGCATTGTTTCTGTGCCTGGTGTTGATGAGGATATCATGCACTGGGGATTGGAGGGCCTGAGGCAATAGACACAAATGTGTCTAGTGTGGTCGCCTCAACCGTTCCGTTTGAAAGCTTGTTCCAGTCCCCGATTTTCTTTGGCAGGAATGAGCAGTTCCTATACTGGCTTCTCGCTGGTATGAGCCTGAATTGCCTGCCATTGCCTCGTCGCTGTCTATGGGGGAGAGGGACAAGTTTCTGCTTAATGCTGGAGCAGTGGACCAGCCCATTATTTATCTTGTACATTATGGAGAGCCTGGATAGGCGTTGTCGTTCCTCCAATGGTGACCAGCCTAGTTTTTCCAGCATGCTGCCAACACTAGAGGTATTCCTGTAGCGGTTCAGGACAAAGTATGCTGCCTGTCGCTGGACCGCCTCTAACCTGTCAATGCTCTTCTTGGTAAATGGCCTCCAGACTGAAGATGCATAATCTAAAACCGGACGGACAAAGGCTTTATAGGCTTTTTGTTTCACACAAGAGTTGCCAATCTTTAGATTACGCCTTAAGAACCCCAGGGTCTTGTTTGCCTCTGTCATCAACACAATACAAGTGTTCAATGCCAGTTATTTTTAAAAAAGGTGATGAGAAAACCATGTTACCTGTAGAGGTGTAAAGACCTGGGCTCTGTGACACTCTTCAAGGCATGGTGACATGGCATCAAAAGCTTCCTCTTCATTGCCAACAAGTTGTATAATATCTTGATCACAAGCCACCCCCATAGCTTTAAATGCTATGGCTACAGGTATATCCTAGAATAAGAGTTAATGCGATAAATCATGGTAAAGATAAGACATGTTGTTATGCAAGTCTAAAGTTGAAAAAAGAAGCCAAAAACTAATTGTATTTGATCCGTGTCACATACACATGAAAAAGTTTACAATTCTTTTTTAATACACCAAGGCAAAAAAATCTTAATTTTTAATATGTTTTTTTATATTAATAGGTTAATTCATTGTTGATAATTTTCTTGTGAAACTTAACCCCCCCCAAAAAAACTATCTATTTACCTCTGAGAAAATGTTGTGTTTTAAATAGAAATTCCCTTTTTTTTGGTACACATATGTTTTACTCTTACGCTCATGGGTGGAACTGAAATTCAAAAAATGAAGAAAAGAACATTTTAACATAACAGTCAAAGAAGATATACCATACTTTGCACACATTAAATTTAACTATTTGTCAAATTGATTTTCTTTTCATTTTAGTTATAACATTAAATTGCCAGCATTTTATCTTTAAAAATTTAAATAAAATATTGATGGTAAAATAAATTATAAGTGAATTAATTACCTAGTCACAGAACATTCAATATTCCCCTTGCTGTCTTTATCAACAATCATTCTGTTCTTTGACAGCTGTTCTTGTATAAGGATAACTTTCTCTGCCCCACGCACAATGAAATATCCTCCAGGATCCATGGGACATTCATTGAGATGAGCCATTTCTGCTGCAGTTTTTCCAGTCAAGATACAGTTAGAGCTTCTTAACATTATTGGCATCCTGGATTGGGAAGATTGTATTATTTTTGTTAAATTATAATTTGGAAATTAAAACAAAATCAATTTTGTAAAATAAACAACTTAATGTAATTATGATTTTTTTAAAATTAAAAACTATTTTTGTATGTCTTTGTTATCAAACACATAAATGAAAACCAGAATTCCATGTAAGATTGACCACTGATACCACATGAGGCAGACTGAATTATACTAACCTGCCTATCTCTACATTCTTTTTTATGTAAGGTTGTTTGCCCCTGACAAATTCTATGTCAACAGTAATGGGTGCTGAGTAAGTTATATCTCTCAACCTACACTGGTAAAGATCAATAATAATGACAGTGATAAATGGATAAAATAAACAATAAATATATGTCTTATTTTACAATTTAATTGCCAAAACAATGCCATACAATTAGTAAACGGGTGAAAGTCATTTCAGAAATATTTGGTATGGCCAGTTGGCTTATCATGGGACAGCAAGAGGAGTTATCAAATATGCAGGAATTGAGTGAATTTAATTTTAACCTTTGAGTTAACATCAATATGCAGGAATTGAGTGAATTTAATTTTAACCTTTAAGTATTTACTGTTTAGGAGAATTTCTGAAATGGAAAGTTTAAATAAAATACCTGTAGGTATGTCAATGTATAATATTTTTTCTCTTTGAAATAACTTAACCCATGTTTTGAAACAGATTGAGCTATTCCAAAACGACTTACCTCGTGTGGAGAAATAGATTGAGCTATTCCAAGGCTCTCTTGAACATTTGGCATGCCCACATATATGTTGAGATACCTAAAAAGTAATAGATTTGTTACAGGAGATTAAATTTATGGCATTTAAAATCAGAATTTCCCCCATTCACAGGTAAGATCCTGGAATTAATTTTAATAATAATAATAAATATTTTTTAAAATTGACATTTCATCAGAGCATTACCTAAATTTTAAGAAATTATTATTCTCTTAGTTATAATTAAATTTCTTTGGTTCAAAGGAATTTTTTTATTATTGACAGCAATTTTTTATTTTCCCAACATCTCTGGATCTGAATGTTTTTTTTTATTTTCTAATTCATGTAAGAGCGAGATATGATACCTTTGATTCAAAATAATCGGAGTTCACATACAATATTGCTCTATTTCTTTTTCATCACCTTGAATTACTAAATTTCTGTTAAGTGCTATTGTCTTTAAATTTGTTTTATAAGTCAAAGAATCTTACTTAAGATAAAAATTGGGATCAGCATCACTCAAAACCTTGTCATTAGCCTTCATAATTTTTTTAATCTGAAACAGAACAATTAAAGTTTGTTTATAACAGTCATTTCCATAGCTTATAATTTCTAAATATTTATGAAGAATTTGACTTATTGCAGACTTATAGGTTATTAATGCATTTTCTTTAATAATATGCTATCCAATACCTCAACATTGATGAAATAATTGAAGGAGTCAATATGTTGCTTGACAAGACCTTTAGTCTTCAGGAATGCTGGTAAAAGTCTCCATTTTTCCTTAAGAAAAATAAAAAGGTGCTATATATACTTGTTAAATTACGGTAATAAAATAACTAAAAGTAAAGGTCAATAAATAATTTATGACATACAGTCTGATGCAATCAGCACATTTTCTAGTAGGTCTAATAAAATGTGATGGCTGTCTTACAATTAATTCATTCCATGAGTTTCAATGCATTAGTCTTAGTCATTAAGTATTATTAATAAGTTTTATAACAATTTTGCAGAGAATACAAATTTGTTGGTATATAAATGTAAGAAATTAAGCTTCATTATAATTCATACATCATATAGTGTAGTCTATACTATTCTATAGCTCTTTTCGGCTATCCATTAGATGAAGCATCACAGAGCACTTTAGAACAAGTAATCATCACAAATAAGACAGAAATGCTTTCTTTGTGACTGCAATGAATGGCCAGTCACAGAATTGACTGTTGAAATTTTGACAATGTCCAAAAGTCATTTTTTGGTCAAGTCTAACAATATCACTCATATTGACTATCTTCATAAAAATATTTCATAATAATATAATTAAATTAAATGGGTTCAAAATACCTCTATAGTTTTAATGGGTGCAGCAAGTTTCTCTTTGTCCAGTTTCATTATATCTTCAATAGATTCCATTGATTGTTCTAGTTGTTCCTGGCTATAACTTAATAATTATATTTATATACTCAGTCAGTCGGGTGCCTTGTCACAAAGTTAACCAAGGCTAAGGTCCAGATGCAGAGGCTGGCAGAAGTTAATTTATATTATATTATTAATAGCTTTGTGTAGTTATAGTCATTATTATAGTAGCCCTACTGTTAGAGATTCATCTACTTTTTAAGTGTTATTAATGAAGTGTTGTTAAACTAATATTATAAATTAATTATTGTTATTCCTATCAGATCAGTTAGTTGAGTTAGTAACTACTTAGAGTTAGGAGTTAGGGCCTAATATTTCAAATTAATTTAAATTTGAGAGTATAGTTAGTCAATTTCAATTATGTTATAAATAACACACCTTGCTATTTATAATGTGCACCACTAATACTAATACTGATTGAGTGCACTTTTACTTTAGTGTCCTTTTACTTTTAGATTAGTGTCTTTTACTAAACTTATAATAATAATTTTAGGCTCTACGGCACGATCTACCAGTTTAATTTTAAAATTTAAGTAATCCAATTGAATTGTTTCATTCCCGGATTCCAGTTGCAGCTGATGATTTCGTGAGTAAAAAAATAATTTTAAACATCGACATTTAATTATGTCAACATTATAAAAAATTAACAATTGATTATCACATTAAATATATTATCAGTAACCGTCTTGAAGAAATTTTACAAAACAAATCATGTAAGACTAAGTCAACACGCATTTATTTATTTTCCTTCTCGGAGTAGCTTCCCTTATACGAAAAAAAATTTGATGGAATCGAATATTTTATTTATCCTGGGTGTTCAATAATGAAGTTGTTCTGTAAATAAAAAATGTAATTAGGGCTATAAAATCTTGACATACTTTGAACTCAATTTGTTCCTCAGTGTTGTATTGAAGCAGTTTCCAACACTACTTTCTACCGACACTTACAATTTAAGAAAAATTAATTGTCACCTGAAAAACATTCAAGCTAATTCGTTTATTCTCTAAGTAGTTTTGTAATGAGAAATAGTTATTTTTTAAACAAAGAACAAAGGGATTATAACTAAGATAGACATATCTTAAGGTTTAATAAGGGGGCAAAACAATGATCGCGTTGACCACTTCAGGATCAAGGGAGATACTGATGGCTGTGAACCCATCCTTACTCCTTGCGGATTAAAATTAAATTTGAAATACTTTAGAAAAATTAATATTAGGCCTTTATGTTTATTTTTAACTAAATTATAACTAACGTTTAAGACACCCCCCCCCCCCAATCTTCTCCGCATTTTTTCATTAAAAAAATATTTTTTGAAATATATAATTATTAGACTAATTGCAAATAAATACAAATTTAATTGTAATTTTTTAAATTCCTTACCACAATAGTGTCAACAGATGATAATTGTTAAAACGTGTCCTTACCTTTACAACTAAAAATCAATATACTATTTAAAATATCATTTACATAATTTGAAATATAAGTGTCTTCATTATAAATGTAACCGTAAATAACATAATTATTTAATCTAAATAAAAATCTTTTAACTTATTATCATGTCTGTAACTGCCTTAAATGTAAAAAAAAAAATTATACGAAGTGGCTATAGGTACCAGAGTACCAATAGTCGCCAATGACTATTCGCACCCGAAAGTCTTAGTAATCGAAAAAAACATGAGCCGAACCAAAGGCTTAATAATCGACAAGTTTGCCGCGCTTTCTTTTAAAAAATGGAGGTTGGCAGCATTTTTGACGCCTATGCTTCTTTTGAAGACGAATTGAATTATTTTTGTAAAGAACACAATGTGTGTTTCACTAAAAGATCGTCAGAGAAGATGAAAGAATTTGGAACACCTTAAATATGAATATATAATTCACTGTTGCAAACAAGGAGTTAAACGCAAGTCAATGTCTTCAAGGACAACAGGCCAAAGAAAATCACAAGCGGCAAGATAATAAAGTAATAATAATAGGTTAACTTTAAATTTAGTTGGTCTTGTCATGTAATAATTCTTTCTCCAAGCCAATGATTCTTACCACTGTAAATGTAGAGGACGAATGCCACTATTTTATCGATGCCGCGACTAATGTAGGTACTTTGAAATTAGAAAATTAAACTTTTTGTAAAAATAAACCAATGATTAGATACTTCGGTAAGTCAAGGGAGACTACTACTTTTTGTGTATGGGAATTCGCAATCGGCGCAAAAAAATTCAAGTTTTTAATTTTCCGATGTGTGTGTCTATTTATTATTAAATTAGTACTTTCGATATATATTTGAGTTCCGTTTTCTGCCTTATAATTAGGTAGACATCTTGGCCTACATTTTAATCAATTACTTTTTTCATTTACCATCAGTCAGCTTTGAGAAAATCCTTGGTAAATATAAGGCAACTTTCATCATTAAAATTAAGTCGAAGGAAAAAATTTGTCACTACCAAATTTTTTTTGCATCTGGGGAATCTATTGATCTACACGTATGCCAATTTTCACAGCGATAAGTGTCTTACGAGAGACGCCATGTTTCTACGCGTTCGCAGCAGGTCATGCAGCTCGCTCAACCTAATTTCGCCATGGGGTTGGCCACGCCCCCCTTTTTAATGGCGGAAGTTGCCGATACTTAGGAAATATTAATTTATTATCACTATTTACATCAAAATAATTGATAACTTGTGTTTCAGAATGCATTTAAAGACATTTAAACTGGAATGTTTTAATTTGAGCTTTAACAACCCGGTAGAATCCATATTATAAATGATCAGAATTTACCGTGTGCAACACGTTGTCATTGGCAACCATTCACAGCCACTTGCATAACTGTATCGTAGTACTACCTCAGAGTTTCATTCATAAGAGTTTGCCGTGTGCAAAAACTATTAAACCATTGGTCAGGGAAAGCTTTAATTAATTATTCATGTGCCAAAGTTGAAAGTTTAAACTAAGTCTAAACAGTATTTTAGTGATAAGGCAGGGAATGCGTTGCCTTATATAAACTATATAGTCATTGCGCATGACGCGATCAGTGGAATGAGGTCACAGAATGTGGAGATGCAGACCATGTTAAAAAATGTCAAACCAAGTCGTACTTTAAAAATTCATAACTTTATAACTACAACAGCTAAAAATATGATTTTGGTGTTATAATTCTTTAAAAAATTACCTCTTTTCAACTATGCCATTGGTTTATTTTTACAAAAAGTTTAAATTTTCTTATCAAAGTCCCTACAATGATTGTAAATACTTCGATAAAACAAGGGAGACTACTACTTTTTGTGTATCTGTAATGGGCGTCGGCGCCGAAAAATCCGAGTTTTTAATTTTCTGATGTGTGTGTCTATTTATTATTAAATTAGTTCTTTTGACATATATTTGAGTTCTGTTTCCGGCCTTTTATTTTGGAAGACATCTTGGCCTACATTTCCATCCAGCTATTTTGCTTTTTTCAATCGGCCTTCATTTTGAAAATAAGGCATCTTCGAATACAAAATTATTTGTGAAATAAAAGGAACATGTCTTTCATATTAAATCGTGTAAGGCATTATTTATTTATTCAGGCATTTTTATATAGCGCTAACCTTAAAGCTCTAAGCGCTTTACAATTATTAAAAACATGTAAACTTACTAAAATAAAAATGAGACATTAGGATAGTAACTTCTATACTATAGAAACAATTAAAATGGCTATAAAACGAGGACACTTTGGCACGTTTTGGCCTATATTACAGGATTAACCCGAGACAGAAAATGAGGCAGGGCAAGGAGGGTGCATCACAGGTCATAGGATATTGATATATATCTGTGCCAATTCTCATTGATGTAGGTCGTGTCCCACGTTCGCTACGCTTCTCCCAGTGACCCATATCACCATAAGGGGGCTCAGTCTAATTTCGACATGGCGTGGGCCACGCCCCCTTTTTAATGGCGGAAGTTGCCGATACTTAAGAAATATTTAATTATTACCACTATATACATCAAAATATTTGATAACTTGTGTTTCAGAATGCATTTTGAAGACATTTAAACTGGAATGTTTTAATTTGAGCTTTAAAAACCCTGTAGAGTCCATATTATAAATGATCAGAATTTTCCGTGTGCAACACGTTGTCATTGGCAACCATTCACAGCCACTTGCATAACGGCTATATCGTAGTACTATCTCAGAGTTTCATTCATAAGAGTTTGCCATGTGCAAAAACTATTAAACCATTGGTCAGGGAAAGCTGTAATTAATTATTCATGTGCCCAAGTTGAACATTTAAAATAAGTCGACCGTAAACAGTATTTTAGTGATAAGGGAATGCCATATATAAACAATATATTATATAGTCATTGCCCATGCCGCGATTGGCGGAATGAGGTCACAGAATTTGGAGATGCAGACCATGTTAAAAAAGGACAAACCAAGTCGTACTTTAAAAATTCATAACTTTAAAACTACAACAGCTTAAAATATGATTTTGGTGTTATAATTCTGTAAAAATTTAGCTCTATTCAACTATGCCATTGGTTTATTTTTACAAAATGTTTAAATTTTTGACCAAAGTATCTACAAGTAGCATATTTTTAGCTGTTGTAGTTTTAAAGTTATGAATTTTTTAAGTATGATTTAATTTGTCCTTTTTTAACATGGACAGCATCTCCATTTTCTGGTACCCAATTCCGCATCACGAGCTATATAACTCTTGTTTTAATGATAATTTTATTTTCAGAACTAATGCTGTATTAAAAAAATAAGTTTAATAATGTTAACAATTATAGATAAATTGTAGCTTATCTAACTATGCACTATTTATATCAGTAAATTTAATATAATGTATTAATATATGGTTTTTCTGTTTACCAAATCTTCAGCGTCCATTAAACCGGTAAATGCTATATAGTCTATATAACTTAAGGCAACGCACCCCCTAAAATGTTGTTTGGTATCTACTTATTTTGAACTTTCAACTTTGGCACATGACTAATTAACTAAAGTAGGCATACCGATACTCCCTTGCGCATTCATTCTGCGCATAAGGGAAAAAACCGCAAAAATTGAAGTGGCCATCTTACAATCGCTTCTACGGTGACCTCGGATTTATGCGTTTTACGTCACAGTTTCCTATTTGTACATTTGTTTTGTCATCGATGACGTTAAATATTTGTCTTCCGGTGACGCACTTGTCGTTCGAGCAACTTGATTAAGCTCTGTTCTTTTGTTGTGTCACTTTGAACATACGGTAAGCTACAAAATGTATTAAATACTTCGTTTTAGCAATGCAATCACATTAAAACATTTAAAAAACAGGTAAGCATTCAAATGGGGTGGGGAATAACTTTGAAATTGCCAATTCATACTTTTCCAGTTGAATGAAATTTCCTTCCAATTGTCATGACCCCACCAGCACGGGGGGGAGGGGGGGAGGAAATGGGGGATTTTTTTTTTTTTGCACCGGTATGATGAAAGGGGCTCTAAATTACTCTCAATAAGATAGTTTTATTACACTAGTAATCTTTGAACATCGAAATAAATCTAATAAAATTAATAAAATGTATTATAAAATATTACAGAAACTGATTTGATGATTAAAATTATAAAAATTCCATTGATTGTTGAAGTTGAAGCTTTTTTTTTAATGAAGGCCGAGAATCTTATATAATAATATATAATAATATTAAATATTAATATGCAAAATACATAAAAATAGTTAAATAGTAATAGTAATAAGTTTAACTAAGTAATAAATAAACATGATATTAGG